GGCTCCCAGTGTCCACAAATAGGCCAAAGTGGTTCATCCAAGTAGCCCAGGAATCTTCAGCAGTTTCCTGGAACAAATTTTAGCTTCCACTACATGCCCATGTTCAGCCTGTGATCAGCCTGAACCCACTTCACTTCAAAACATTCATTTGCACAATTGCTAAGTATAGTAACTTGCATTCATTGGAAATAAATTGTCTTAACTTGTAGCTTTTGTCTTTTATTTTTTGGGTGAGTAGTTGTGAAAATCTATCTTTTAGTTTATAAAATGATCAAATTTTATCTGTAAGATACTGAGAGAGAATGATCTTGGCAAATAGTGATTTTTTGAGAGTCACTTTTCTGATTAAAGGCAGTTAAGTAATCAAGGTTAAATTTTCTTAGTCTTTTAATGCCTGGTTACAGACAATAAACTGCACAGAAGAAAGAGAAACATTTAAAAGCTGCATCTAGTCCAACTGAAAAGGATAGATTTATAGTACCTATATATTCATCTGAACATAATGATTCCCTATGCAAAGGTTTATAAGCCTTTAAGAAAATATGAGAAGAGGTTTGCAAGTGTAGAAGATAACAGGAAAAGAGCTCTCTTTTTCTGACTGTTTTCTATGTTCGCTTTTTTTGTTTCTCTTTTAAGAGCTGGCTGTATAGTTGGTGTTTGAGAATGTGCTTTTAAAAATGTATGGACATATGTTTTCAAGGAAGTGAAATGAAAGCCAGGTGAAACCTTCCTAAAATGTTACAAAATTCAGAAAATCCTTTATGTTAAACCATAAGGTATTTTTTTCCACCAATCTCAAATTCCTTGTTGGTTTTTGGTTTTCCCTCTATAACTTCCTTTCTTCCTAAGAATGAGAAGCCTATCTTTTCTCTGTTTGGCATGCAAAAATGCATTTTTCTCCTCTCAATTATTTTTAATGCTTGTCGAGAAAAAAGCTCAGAAGTTGGTAAACATTATTCAGCCTACTGTAGCAGCTTTTTGTTATTTAAGACATAAATCAAATGTGGAACTTCTTTTTTCCTGGGGGACAAATTGTTTATCTAAATTTGAATGTGCTTGTGAATCACTCATAGGGAGTGTACTTGTGCTATTGCTGTGGATGAGCCATTATTTGCATTAGTTTACATTGTTTTGCTTTATAGCATTAAAGTAGTCAGACTGCACACAGGTGTATGGTACCTCTGCAGAGCCCTGCAGGATGAGAATCATGGGCCTCAGTCCTCCAGACAGCTATGGCCATGTTTATGCACCATCAGAAGAATCAGAAGAACTCTTCCAGCACGTGAAGTTAAATGATGCATGACTGCTTTGTGAGGACTGGGGCCAAGATCATTCCCAAAGCAAAGCCCATTGAGGGATCAGAGATACAGGGTTTGTCCACAGAAAGGTTTAGAATCACATAAGTTCACAGAATATTCTGAATTGGAAGGGACCTACAAGGATCATCAGGTCCAACTCCTCAGTGAATGGCCCATACACAGATCAAACCCACAACCTTGGCATTACCAGCACCATGCTCTGACCAACAGAGCCAATCTCAGTAAGATGATAACAAAACAGTTTTGTGAATTGGCTGCTCTTTCATAATATCTTCCCATTTGCCTCTGTGGCCTCTTACTTGAGCTTTTTAACATTTGTGACACTTCCATATGGGTACAGTAGATTGCAGCTTCGCTCCCTTTGAAATGGAAAATTCATTCCTTGTGTCTAGAAATCTCATCCTGCATTATCAGCTTTGGGAGCGGAAAGAGAAGACGTTTATTCCTTTAGTAGTATCTGCTGAAGATGTTTAAGGGCACACAAAGGCAAGTGCTTTCCCAACAGAGTACACAATTACCTGCTTTGCAAAGACAACCCAGACTTATTTCTTACACTTCTAAGTCTGACAGTGTAAAATACTTTAATTCACATGCAGTAAGCATTGACTTTTATCACATAATTAGCATTCTAAACTCACAGTTTCAGAAGTTTATAACTCAACAGTAGGTTTAAACTCAGTAAATTCAAGCCAGAAGCCTTATTTTTCAGTGTAAAAAGACACCTTTTGTTTCTACAGTATCAAGCTAAGTGGACCTTGTTTATTTCAGGCTTTTTAAAGGTTTAGATTTATTTTTTTAATCAAAAATTAATTGCTAGAGTTTCATTCTGATATTCTTCAGATTGCAAGACTGCTTTGACATAATTGAAAAAAAAATTGAAATGTTCAGTGATAGGCGTTTAAAACCAACTCCTGAGAACTCATAATGGACCATATTCCAAATATTCCTGTCCAAATCTCACTGACATCGATGGAGCTGTTCTGTGTATGTCCTATTTTTAAAATCCTGCATGCATAATCACCATCAGCATTGTTACAGTACCTACCGTGGGTGGGTGCAACTCTGAATGCAGATTTGCACTATCAGCCCTAATGGTTCTCTCTTGAGAGAAATTCAAAATGCTGTTCATAAGCTGTTCTGGACTTTTTGGTAACCAATCCCATTTCACACATACACTCTCAGACACTTCTTGTTAAAGAAAATCAAACACTTCAGAATATATATTTGTATGACACTGTTCCAGTCTGTTGGATAAAATATGTGCACTTTATAATATTCACTTAGAGATGTATAGGTCTGTACATAGTATAATAACAGCAAAATTATGTTAATCTTATGATATATGATTAAATGAGCCTAAAAATGTCAATGCCAAGTACACTTTATGGTATGTCAGTTATTATCCTTTCTTTCATTTAACTGTGTATGAAAGAGAAATTTTAATTTCCATTTTTTTGGGAATGTTGCATATGTATTACAGCCTGATCTTTTTTTGAGCATAAGATATCATGTGTTTAATTCTGTATGTTTAGGTAATTACCATTAGAACACAGGAGGACATATTGTACTTATTGCCTGTACTAGAGTATAATGTGCTGGACTACAACTACGCTTGTTAAGCTGATTTTAGTATTTCTTCACACAGCAGGAAGCACCCATGCTGTGGCTTCTTAATGTACTCTTTAACTACTGTACTGTACTGTACAATAAAAATAATAATTAATTATGAACCTCACCTTACTAGTGCTGCTGCTATCTGGGTGATTTTGGCTGCTTTTTCAGGGTTTCACTGTCCCACACCCTGAAAAATATCTTTCCCTTCAGAGTTTTATTTCTTATGTGATATTGCTGAACAGAGCTGAATTTTTTGAGGACAGGTTTGTTGCATGGATTGTGATGGCTTCACATTTGTTCAGGTCTCCAAGGACCCGCACCAATAAATGTGAAAGAGACAACAGCAGAATGGCATACTTTCCCATTTCCACCAGGATGAAAAAAATACTCTAAATTAAGTCTAACCTTAAATGTATAATCTGTCCTTGGGAGAAAAAAAAAAAGGATATAGCATCTTCAAGCTCTTGGCATCCCTTACGAGAAAAAATTGGTTCTAAGGGTCTCTGATCTTGTGTTTTAGTAAAATAGAACTGCACGGCTGACTGACAGTTCTGATCTAAAGCATTTACGTTTAAGTTTTGATCTCTCTGCTTTTGATTAAAACTAATGAGCTCATTTAATTCAAAATGGGAATCTCTGATAAGAGAAATAAGGTTGATGTGATTGGATTAGAGGGGCAAATTAAACTCTTAGAGCAGAAGTTTGTGCTTATACAGTGTATTAAAAAGCTGTTGGCGTATTATGGTGTGTTAGATGATGAGAAAAATTTCATAGTAATTCATATTTAATCAGAAGAAATGAAAGTACTAAATATAACATGGCTCTGCTTTTCCCTCGAGTGATAAAGAGCTGTACATTTAAAATGACATCAAATTCATGCTCTCTAAAACAAAAAAATCTTAAGAGACACACTGAAGAAAGGGGCACTGTTGTCAGTTATCACAACAGAGCTCAAATGTCACAAACACAAGACAAGTTGACCACATTAAATCAAGGACAATTCAATAAAATCCTTAGCTCACAAACAAATTTTTGCACTTCTGTTGACTGCATAACAAAGGCATTTTAAATACTTAAACACTTTCTACTAGTAGTTTGTGTGGTTCTCCTAAACAACAGAATTTCAATTTCAAAATATTTCTTTTGTTCCTTGTTAATTCCTCAATGAAATTGAAATTTCTTTTATATCAAATAATGCCTGTTTATTGTAAGCTGCTCCAGAATTTTCCCATTAAGTATTTTGGGGATAAGTTGATTATCAGGGCTAAAAAATAGGAATCGTAAAGATTGTATAAAGAATACCTCAGTGCTGATGCTATTTTATCATGATTTAGACTGAGTCTTAAGTAATTTAAGTGGTTGCAGTTAAGGGAGGGAGAAGTGCAGGTGAGAGCTATACTTAGTCGTGAGCAAGTAATATCCCTTCAGCTGGACTAGAAAGATGTTTCATTAATGACTAATTAATCACCAATAATTGATGATATGATGACAATAATAATAATATGTGTCATTTACTTGAGAATTCTTGCCTTCAGGTTGTTTAATGTTTTATTGATAATAAAGGCCCTAATTTAGCCTCAATAATATGGAAACCAAGGCACACAAATCCAGCACTGACTCAGGTATCACTGCAGTTGAGAAGTGACTAGGGAATAAAAATCTGCAGAATGTGCAGCCTGTTTCAGGAGAGAATTGCTACCTAAGTGAGACTTTGCCTTTTACAAAATACTGACAAACAGTTTTTAAAACAATGTCATACACTCTAGCAACATACCCTCCAACTCCAGTCATCACTAAATTGTGCAAGAAAGAGTTAATGAGACAAATCTCTGTTAAAAATTCTATGGGAAAAATAACTTGAAAATGAGACATACTGAGTATATGTATATTTTTGTAATTTCTTTTTTGCTAAATAAACATTTTCTAAATGAGGTAAATTGATTACAACACTCTTAGCATCCATCAGTCATTTATTTTTAGTGAGTTCAAGGATTGCACCTGAAAAATAGCTTAGAGGGGATGTATAAAATCTAAATTATGTGTATATGTATTTTTTCTATTCCCTAGTGGAAACTACAAACCCCAGCTTGCTAACCACTGACAACACTCTAGAGCGCTCTTTTTTCATCCGAATGAAATCTACACTGACCAAGCGAGGAGTGCACATCAAATCATCAGGATACAAGGTAAGGGTTGCACTGTAACATGAAATATTGACATCTTGAAATTATGCTCATTCATGTTCCAGGAGCACCTTAATAGACAGAGAGAGGAGCTATTTCACATTTGCATATGTCTCATTCCTTTTGTTAAAGAATCATTAATACATATTTTCAGCCTGAGGTTTGGCTTTTGTACTGCACTTCCATTAAATTGATCATTATGATGATAAATGTTGATGATAACAGCATGATAGCCTTCAAAAGAGCAACATTTCCAAAGTAAAGGTATCTTTTACCAAAGAAGGCGAGTCAGAGTAACATCATTTTTCCCACAGTGGAAAATTACTGTGCATTTTGTAAGACTGTTAGTAATTTTTGGTTTATGCTTTTCCCAGAGAGGCTGGATTTCTTCATGCAGGCAGCATGCTATTTCATTTTTCTGCCATTCCAGCTGTAGGAAACAATGAGCCACATTGAGTACTTTTCCACCATTTTTCTTTCATTGTCTGTCTGAGGGGCATCTGCTGCTGGGGGTCATATTTGCTGGATTTCAGAGTCTTTTAAGATATGAAAGTCTCTTGTTTCTTATCAGCAGTAATCTCATTTTTCTTCAGTCGTATATCGCTCATAGCGCCTGTAGCTATCACTGGCTTTGCAGTATACTAAAACTAGAAGGAATAGCACATTTTTAACATTGTCAACTTGTGGAATGAAATATGTCATCCATTAAGTTTTATACAAGATAAAAGAGTGGTGCAAGAAAGTCTGAGAATGTGTGGGCATTTAAAGAAGTTGCTTGTGAAAGTTCATTTAAAAGCTTTCACAACCATTTTGTTTTGGTTTTAGAGGAAGATTTAGAGAAGCTTTAAAGTAAAGTTCCCCAACTCACTTTTCCCAAGAAATTCTCTAAGAATATAGCATTATGGTAGCTACCTGAGGAGTAAAAATCTAGCAGAAATATCTTCTTTGCAAGCAAGTGACTGTGAATCATGCTCTTGGATGGTTTCTGGGTGAAGATGATTAAAGTTGTTGCTAGTAGAAGTTTTAAGTCCAAAGCAATGGTTTCTAAGCCATCACAAGTTTTTGATCTGTGTCCTATTTAATTGTCAACAGCTGAAAGAACGCACTGAGTACTTGTTCATGCTTGCAAGTCTAGGAAGATACCAAGACCACGAAGTGTATTGACAGTGAAGTGTCTTAGGAGGAAGAAGGAGAATTAATAAATGAATTAATTAATTAATTGGCACATCATGGAGCCATAGAATGGTTTGGTTGGAAGAGATCTTGTTTTTTCAGGTCATTGAAGTTAAACTAATTATCATTATTAGGTATGGTCCACCAGGCTTGGACAAAGTTAGATTGATAGAGAACTTACTTTGCTGGATATTTGTGATGCAATAATAATGGGTAAAACATAGGGAATTTGTCAGTGGATTTTGTAGTCTCACTTTTTTTTTTCCAAATGTTGCTAGGAACAAAAGTTAGATGTGTGAATGACTCTGTCATTCTCTCTCTTGGACTCCTGACTATCTAATTTTAGTCCAGCATCAGAATAGGACATATAAGCTGGCTTCACAAGGTGAGGTTTTTACTCATTGCAATACAATTTTTGAAATTCACAGTAGACCCTTGGCTCAAAAGACATGCTAATGTCTATCATGTAAATACAATTTTATTTCTCTTAGAATTTCTAATGCCTCATGGCAGCATTTAAAACCATAACTCAGATGTCACAAGTACAGCAAAATTAGTTTTGAAAGATCTGATATATTTTTTAGCCAGTTTTTCCTGAACACAATTAATGGATAAAAAGAAAAAGTATGAAAGCCAACAAAACTGCCTGTAAATAAAATATTGGGGGTTTTCCAAATTTTTTCACGAGGCAAGTCAGCTTGAGTAAAATCGCATAAACAGTGTGCAAGCCCTAGGCAGGTGTAAAAATAGACATGCAGTTCTTCTGCTGTTTGATGTTTTTAAGGATTTTGTAACTGGCAGTATTTAGCTGTGTCCAGCAATATGAATTGCACTCTTACAGTTTTTCAAAAGCTTGGTTATTGGCACTCTGTGTTCCATAGAAAGACCATTATCCATGGCCACAGCAAGCCCCAGAAAAATAGTACATTTATTTTAGAAAATTTGGATCAAGTGAATATCCTTTTAACTGAGCTTTCAGAACTGCCATGTTTAAACATTCTTGTCAGCTGGTGTATCAGACAAGCATAATAAAACTCAACCGCTGTAGTAAAAGTCTCTTCTAGGAATCTTGGTAATTGATTTCTAAAAGTCCAGTACTAGAACAAACTCAAGGCCAAAATTAAGAAATATTCATGAGCTTTACGGATGTACGTCTATAAGAAATTATCAACAAGGAAGAATAGTTGCATAACATTAACAAAGATCGTGGGAAAAGCTGGCCAAGTTCTGCATGAGAGATCCCTGGAAGTCCTTCAGCACTTAGTCAGGAAATACTGTGCCAGCTGGGATCATGGGCAGCAGACTTCCTGCAGGAAATCCTGGTGGAGCAGGCCCACTAAAGAGCCAGTGTCTCACACCTTCAGAATACAACAGGGTACTGAATTTCCCATCTGTAAAGTACAAGGGCTCTTTGCTAACACCTTCCCTTGAGCTCTTGTAAGGGGGGATTCAGGGGTAACCCCTCTGAATCAGCATGCAACCTTTCACTGGGAGCAGTGTGCAAGGAACTGTTTGTGGTATGAGTCAGATTTTAGCTCTCTCAAAGGTATTCAGCTCCCCATGGATTCAGACCTCCAGCAAGGACAAAATTTTTTCATCTTTGTGAAGTAGTTGTGTCTTGATCCAAACTCTTGCTGAGCTCAGAACCACATCATCATTTTGCCTTGCTTTGAGGACTGCTGGTGAATGTTTCCTGTCGACAGCAAATGATTGAGGTGGTCCACAAGGTGCTTAGTCAATTTTCAGAATGAGTGGTCCCTGCCTTAGGACAATCACATAAAAGTGAAAACAGTCCAAGAATAAAATGTATTAATCATTCAGGTTGATCAGAACTAATTTTCTATCAAAAGAAATGTTATAACAAAAAGCAGACTGATAATTTAACACATATGTATGCCTCAAAGAAACCCTGCTCTAGACAATTCTGACTTAAGATGAACCTGTTTATAGTCCCTTCCTGAACTGATATAACTAGTTCTGAATTACACGTAAAGATGGAGGTAATGGCCTTTTTCCATGAATTATATTACCTTAAAAGTGTAAGTGGAAAAGTGATTACATGATTAATCCTTCCTCTCTCTTTCCCTTTCATTGTTCCCTAGCACTCTCCTTGAATTAGAATTTCCCATTCTTAATGGTCTTAGGCTCAGAGGTCTGCAGGAAAAGAGTTTACATTCAGTACTAGAGAGTTATTAATTTTTCAGTTAATAAATTGAAAATCTTTTAAAACAGTGAAATAAAATTTAATCAACTGATAAAACATATGGAAAACAAATAAAAAGAAAAAACTTATAATTCCATTCACTGCAAAATTCAGAATGTATTACAATTGCAGCTGTTGTCTGAGATACATGCTGGAGAGACTTACTGTTTGTTCTCCATTGAAAATGGAACTCATCTTCCTTTTTTTTCAATATTTATTTTTTCATCATTGAAATATGGTTTTGTATTTAATTTTGATTTTATCTTCATTTTGGTTTTATTTTCATTTTCCTCCCTTTGAGGGTCACAGTTCTGTCCACTCAAAAGTTTTCCCAACTTCAATTTTTCTACTGTCTGACTTACTCAATCATATGTCAAAGCTAATTTTAATTCAAAATTATATTTTTCAGGTCCAGTGGTAAATTTTCTACTCCTACAGTATCCTATTATTGTTCTGTCATGTTTACTTGCCCATCAGATTACGCTAGAATTTTCTTTGTTCAAACTTTCATTAACTGATACTGTTTTCTTGAACAAAGCTTAACTAAGGGTTCAAGAAGTAGTCAAAGCATCAAGCAGCATCCGAGTCAGTAGTTGCCAGCTGTTTCCAGCTCATCAGCTCATCAGCGGTGCTAGTATAGATCCATGCATACTCCTCTACTGTTTTATGGAACAGCACTCTTGTTATGAGCTATTACAGAAGTGGATAAGCAAACACAAGGAGATGGCCTTGTTCTTTTGCTGCCACTGTGGCAATCTCTGAATGGGGTATAACCAACCTCTGTTGCCTCTCCATCTCCCTCAAAGCTGGCAAGTAAATATCTTGAAGACCCATCAGCAGAATTAAGGATATCCTAGAAAACCTTCAGGCTGTCCCTTCCAGTGGACAGACTGTGTAAAAATAAGTAAATTGCTATATTTAAAAAAATTGGTTTGGTAAGTTTCATTTAGACATTTGTATGGTTTGTTGCACATCTAATTTCTGCAGTTCAGAAATGGAGGATGCAAGTTTGGTTAGCTATACCTCATATATCAGTTGCATGAGGTGTATCAAAATACTTTAAATAATACTCAAAACTCCAGAAAAGTGTTTTCACAAATTAGTCTTGTAGCCCTTATGAATTCTTTTTTTCTTTTTTTTTTGACAATGGTGTCTTTCTGCAAATTCATTTAAAATTAAACATTCTCTGAGACTGTAGTCTCAGATTTGGTATTTCAAATCATAAAGTTAGAATTCTCTGAATGATAATTTTGAAGATGGAAATCTAAATTTTTTTTTGAAATTTTATGCCTGTCATGGTTCTACTGTGAGTCTTTTTCATGCTATTCCTTCCTTTATTCACTTTTTTATTTTAGAAGAACTTGAGGAGTTGGGCAAGATTTGCAGACCGTAGTTGAGCACTTGAAGTGCAGGTTTTGGCAGGATTTGGATTCATTAATCCAAGAGGGCAAGAGAGTAAAAAAATGTGTGAAAAAGACAAAATTACATTGGGCTCATCTTGTGATACTGTCCTCTTGGCTGAATCCAAAATTGAAAATATTGTTTCTCATCCAAGTGAAAGATTCACCTGGAATTCAGAAACAAGATGCCCCTACTCCAAAATCACTTTAAGGATCCAATATATCAT